CTTCCTGCTTTTTTTCCTGAGCAGGATAAATATTTCTGTAAATTATTCCTGAGGTAGAAAGTCTGCTTGCTTTCAGATGTAAGAAAGTATCTTATGTGATTTATTGTGGGAACATTAAAAAAATTAATATGATTTAGAACAGCCAGTGCAGTACTTAACTGTCTTGGGAACACAATTTGACCTCACCTTAAAGTGACTGCAGAACATGCACTGACTCAACACAGCAGCATGTATCTTTGGATCGTTCTGACTCCTATAAACTACACTACAGACAAGGAAGCTGCAGAGTTATTTTACATTCAGGATCATCTTACATTCACCTGCATCTATTTAAAACCAGAAAAGTTCAATTGAAACTGATGGATATACACAATTAATTCAGAATATATCAGGGATCAAGGCAGGTTCTCAACTTCAGGGAGCTTCAAAATTATTGAAAAAAAGAACTGATAACCCTCCAAGAACCTTTGAGAAAAATCACCTCTTTGTATCAGACATAGTTTATTCTCTGGTTGAGCAATGGGAATTAATATTTAATATTGCAAAGATCCTTGGAGCTCCTACTATGATAGAATGTGCAGTAGGCTAGAAGGGAGTTAATAGCAATCTACTAGTTTTAAATATTTCAAGACTCTCATATTAGCATGATTTAAAAATCCACATTAATTTTGTATCATATTTATAACAACAAAAACAATGGTTTCAAACATAATAATCAAAACATTTTGCCATGCATATGAGAGTAAGTCTGTTCTGAGAAGAAGTGTATTTCTGTCACATTATCTGACTATGGTTAATACAAGAAACTCTTTGTTGTTCTGTTCCCTGTATAGTTGAAGGCTCCTGGGTTGCAGAGCTCCATTCAGCATGAGGAAAGGGAATCACTTAATAACTTTTCACTACATTTCCCAGCACATACATGTCAGAAATTGTAACATTTTTCCAAGTAATTTGGTAATGAACACTTCATACATGAAAACTTGGCCAATTCTCAAGGGTCAATCTATCAATAGGACAATTAAAAAATATATGGTATTTTTTAAAGTACGAAACAATGGCAAATTAAATTTAGAAACTCCAAGGGACTGTTATCTTTGAAGCTAAGAAATTCCATGTATGACATGAAGGTCAATGAATATCCTGCAATTTATAAGCAGTCACCCACACACAACCCCCAATCTACTACTTCCTGACCTAGTCCTTTTCTTTGTGACACTTCCCTTCAAAAACAGGCATAGTTATTTCAGAGAGATGAACTGGCTGAATAATTATTAACATAAAAAGAAATTACTGTGAATATAACAGTAAACTATTCAATATTTTATGATGAAAGCAGAATGTTCTTCCAGCTTTCAAATGGGAAAAAGGATCTGGAGATAAGTTTCCCCTTTTGCATTAACTCAAGTGAATTTTATTGTGCCCCAGAAGGGGTCTGCCTGGACACCAAAACCACATTTTCTGCATGCTGTCTTAGGTACAGCATGGCCAGTCTGGGTCCAGTACAGAAAAATTTAATGCAGTGTTAGAGCCATGGCATACAAACCCCTCAACCGCTGATTTCATTTTTTTGCATCTTCCTTTAGAATAGAAAGTCCTAAACAGGTTAGTTTAGGCTAATGGGCAAATTCAAAACAATTGTTACTTTCAAACCCATTGCAGCAGAGTTGGGGTATATACATGAAATGTAAGAACATTAGCAGGATACCATGCAGAAACTTTCTGAAAACACTTAACTCACATACACACGTAGCATACACCCGACACATACAAAGTTGTCTCATCAGCTCTTCCTTCTGGATGACCTGCCAGCAAACAAAGAGCAACAGCAGCTGTAACAACAATAATATATTCTGGGATCTGCATGAGTATCTCAGAATTTTGCTTAGCACTATTATAATAAAAATTTCTGTGCTCTCCAAAGTACACATATACAGAGACACAATCTTCAGATCAATTTTAGTGCAAACAAAATTGTAAAAAAAAACACACCTCTGAAAAACTAAGCCAGTGAAAACAGTAGCATGTCCAAATGATAGACACAAAAAATACTTTGGAATTATTTGCTTCTAATAAGATAAGCAAAAAGATTCAAACTGAGAAGTACTTAAAGTAACCTTTTAAAAACTAAAAACATGATTACATAAAAAAGTGAAATAATATTTTTGGAAAATATTTTTGGCCCATACATTTTAAAAATGTTTTCTTATAAAACTTTAATTTTTAAAAAGTATTTTAAACTTCTTCCTTGGTCACTATCCAAACACTTTTCAATTATAACACTAGTGTTGAGCTTTTGGATTGTTTAAATAATTAAGCAATTGTAATAATAGAAGTTGCAATTTTTTAATCTTAAGGAAGTAGTTCTGGCAAAAGAATGAAAAATATAAAGTACAATCTTTAAATTAGACTATCTCTTAAGTCTGAAGGTTAAGCTAATATCCCATATATTGAGGATGTTTTTATTGTCAAGTAAGGTAAAGCTCTTATTTTAAAATTTATAAAACCTTGAGCTCAACACAAAAAAGCTCAGCTGCAGATAATGAGAAAGTGAGCAGAATGCCCATAATAATTTAAAAAAAGAAAGTGTATCAAAATGTGGTTTGCTAAAAGACAATTATTAAAAAAACCCGAACATGTATTTTTTGTTTATAATAGAGAAAATAAAATTTTAATAGCCATCTGTCAGACCCAACAAGCAGTCCAAGTAAAACCAACCAAAGAAAACAAGCAGCTCTATTTTGTGAAGAGATTGTACTTGTCTTTTACATGTCAGGAATTATTTTATTTTACTTTGAAAGCTCTTATTATTAAATATAAGTTAATTTATACTAAATGGCAAAAAAATAAATACTACAAAATAACTGATTATTGCTCCAAAAAAAAGAAAGCAAAGCAGTGAACAGTGTATGGGACAGCTTATGGAAACTGAATAGAAGAGTACAGATATCAGAAAAGAGGAAAAACTCTGATGCTTATACCAGGAGAGAGAGGAATTTTTAGAAGGGGAAAAGAAGTCAGTCAGCTCTGCTCCACTGCTCATGAACATACATGAGTAACTCTGCTGTTCCTAGGGGGAGGAGGATGAGGGAAAGGGCTATCTCTGAATACCTCACTTGAGCTTGAATCAAGGTAAAACTTCAAGTTCATAAACACATGAAGAGTTGAAAGTCAAGAAATCATTGGCAACACAAGCCTAAATTCTATTATCTTTGAATGATACTATCCAAAAGATAAAATATTACCTTCTACCCTTGCAAAATTATTCAGGAACATTCCAAGGACAAGCTACATGGCATTGCAAGGCAGACTTGATAGCCTTCTCTTTTCTACAGATTACTTGTTTTACCAGAGCTGTTCTGGAAAAGAAAAGTCGGTACCTCAGCTATGTAACCAAGATCACTTAGTTTCAATAATTTACAAAGGGTTAGCTGACCCACAGTAACTCACTAAGCTATCTTAGCCCAATGTAATGTTTCAAAGTGTGTTTGCCACAGACAGAGTACAAACATTTAAACAGTACAGCTCTGCTGACATGCAGTAGTTTTGGCTTGTGCCTGGACTTCAAAACATGTGAATCTTTTCTGCCAAATTTTATGGCTGCTTCTTACAGATCTCCACTCCTACCTCCAGCTGAAAGCAGGTTCTTACTTGTCCATCACCAAATTAAAAAATAACTTGTGTTACCAAAATTATTTATTCCCTCACCTGTATTGAAATCTTTCATCTGCCAAGATGCCTCAACCCAGCCATCATCTTATTCAGTTACCTCCAACAAATTAAATGTAGCTAAAATGAGTGTAGAACGAGTAGGGGATCCTGTCAATCCTAAAAGGCAGGAACATTACACTATAGATAACTCAACAACTAAAAAGCTGTATTCTTCCCCGCTTTTTTTTTTTTTTAATTACTTCACATTTGCCAAGTTCTGCATTATACTATGCAACAAAATATCACCAGGCAACTTTAATTCTGCACTAAGTAATTATTTTTTGGCAATAAAAAAATATTCATATCTATGCACATATCTAAAGAACTCAACAACTACAGCAGTTCCCTCCTAAAGAAAAGCCTTCTCCTGCTGTTCTTCCATGTGAGATTTGTGTTCAGTTACTTATTCAGCATGGGTGGACATTTTTAAGCTATGGTTTCATAACCACACAACAGTCAGTGCCTTTTTACAGCAGCCTTTTAATTTTTTTTTTATTTTTTTTTCCCCATTGCACAATCCAAGTCTGTATCTGCACCTGCTCACAGTCAAGGGCGTTGATGATCTTGGTGTCTGCCCAAATTGCTTAAAAAATCTTGCTGCTTCAGCATGCGAGAAATATGCAATAGCTGGTTTCCCACGGGAGATTAGATAAACGTTAAGAAACTTCAACTGAAAACAAAATAACCTGAACTAAGGCCATGTTATCAAACCCACTTCTGAAGGAGAAAAAAAGGCAGATGTAGCATTAATGCAATCAAATAGGCAAACTAAGACCTTTCACTGATAAAACCTAAACCCCACCTAAACAAGGTACACCACGAAAAGCAAGCTACTTTTAATGACGTAAAATCCTCAACCCTACAGCCTGCCCTCGAAGATACGAAATAGTGTGTTTTGAAGAAGACAACTACCACAGCTGCTGAAATAAAACTCTCAAAAGACACCACCTCCCAAACCAGAGCACTCACTACTGGAGCTGGCACAAAGGCGGACACACAACACCCGGCCTGCCGGGTTCCCAGCGCCTCGGCTGGGGAAGGGACGGGGTTTGGGGCCCCGCTCTCCTCAGGCTGCCTGGGCCCTGGGGCCGCCAGTGGGAAAGCCCAGGCCAGGGGAGACAGATGCTGAAGGGAAGGGGCTGCCCCATGACGGGCCCTACGCGGCGGCGCGGCCCGCCCAGGCTGGGCGGGAAACAGCTCCTCCCGCCTTCCCTCCTTCCCGTCCCGCAGTGCAGGTTCCCGCTCCACCCCTGCCGGGCCGGCCCGACCCGACCCGGAGCAGGAAGCAGGGAATGGCGTCCCTTGACCCCAGCCTGTCACGGAAGGAGTCACGGGGAAGTGATGGAGGTGAGGGGAGCCGGGCGGCGGGAATGGGGCGGTTGGGAAGGGCCGCGCGCCGCTCGGGGAGGCTGCGCGCGCGGGCGGTAACGGCCGCGGCCC